AAGCCCGAGTCAGATCCAAAGCAAAAAAAAATCACAACATGAAACTAATGAAAGGAATATCACTTAAAAAAAAATGGAAACCCAAAACCGATTCAAAAAAATTTGATGGAACGAAAACCATCGAATTGAAAATTTTCGAAACATTAAAGGAAAATTTACAATTTTTGGGTTACTAGTTGTGTGTGGAGACTAGTTATACCCTGAATAATATGCGATTGTTCCTGTTTTTTTTTAAGTGCCTGCTAATGACAGCATTACCTTAAAAGAGTTAAAAAAAAAAATCTGCGGATTTATGGGCAAGAACTTGAAGTTATGGAATTTCCTGATTGGAATCCCTTAGAAAGTATATGGAACAATTGGAACATGATGGGAAAAAGGTTACCAGCACTTTGTAGAGCCCCTCCTTTCTCCTTACAAATTTAAATCGAAGAATGTTATTCGAGCAAGAGATAGTAACACAATCTGTTATTATTCGGTTTTTGTTTATGGTAAAGGGTGTGCCAAATTCGAGACTCGCCATGGGGCTCTCAGAAATCGTACGAGATACAGGGTCGTTTAAGTTCCGGACATATTCGAAAAAAGACAGGAAATGGCGATGTTTGCGTTTATTTCTTCCTTGCTCAAAGATAGAGACAACCAAGATAACTTTCTTAAAGCATTTTTGGACGAGCTTCAACATGGTAATACCTACTGTTGAATTGCACGTTTCGGTTTTCTAAGGCTATCATCAACTTCTTTTTTCTAATACGGACCTGAATTTTGGATTACATAATTTGTTTGGTTTCGATATTCTAAAATATGTCATTCAAAAAATGTTTTGAAATAATGGATAATAGGTATCTAAAAGAGAACAAATCAACAATTTAATATGGGATATAATTTATATAAGTAGGAGGTATTCACAAATACATTTCTCTACTTTATTGAATGGCTTGCGAATTTTTTTTTGATTTAAAATCGATCGTGAACGACTTACAGCAAATTGAAGTTTCACGTCGCTTTTATAAAATATTCAAATGTTATCCTCAGCTATTCCTACAGGATTTGGTTTACCAACTTTTACGCAAGTTCTAATTACGTTGGCTCTACTCCCGCTATCATAACAACCAATTTGGTCGTGCATCATAAAAACATAGGTATAAAATATCAACCAATGGAAATGTCATTATTATGGGGATGACTCTCATTAAAATGGCATTTTAATGCGTTTTTTATGTTCTACTTTCACTACAAAAATAGTTGAATTGCAAAGAAACGTTCATCATCATCATCTAGCAGCTTGTCTCGTCCACTGCTGGACATAAGTCTCTCTTAACCTGAACCATTTTGCTCGGTCTTGGGCATCTTGGATCCAGTTTGAAGAAATCCTTCTCAAATCGTCCGTCCATCAGGCATCAAGTCGGCGGTCGTCCCATGTATGCTTCGTCTCTGGAACGCCATTCTAGCATACTCTTTGTCCATCTATTATCTGACATTTTGGCGACGTGGCCAGCCCAGTTTCATTTTAGGTGTGTGACTCTTTCAACTGCATCCGTAACTTTTGTTCTTCTACGTAGTTCTTCATTCTGGATTTTATCTCGCAACGTCACTCCTAACGCATAGACCTCTTCATTCTTATTTTGTTGACAGTTTTTTGTGCTAATGTTAGTGTTTCCGAGCCATAAGTCAATACCGAGAGAACGCATTGGTCAAACAGCTATCTGATTGAATACATATCCTTCTGTTGAGTTCGTGGGTCGGGTTGTCTCTTCCCATTCAGATCTCATGTTAATTTATCTTCCTACAAGAGGATGTAAAAACACATAAACCAAAGATGACATATGAAATCAAAGGCATAGATCATAGTAGGTTCAGAAGACAGTTCAAGGAAAGAACCGCAGCAATAAGTTACATCTGGGGACTAAATCTGTCATAAATTGGGTCTTGGAAATGTTGATTTTCAAGCCTATTTTCTGGGGAGCTGCAGTTCTCAGACCATTTCATTTGTCGGTCTGAGATCAGCACAATATGTCGGCCAAACGTAGGTGGTTTAGCTTTTCTTCATCCACGTTTACGCCCTTATTGTCTAATTTAATCTCTTTGAACATAATATGTACCATCAGAGTCGTGAAAAGTTTGGGGGATGTCACCTTGTCAGACGCCCTCTTCCATCTTAAACCGATCTGTTCCTACATGTATGTGTCGTAATATAGAAATGTAGCGATGGTCTATACGACAGTTTGCGAGAGCTTTAAACAATTAATGGTGATTTATAAAGTCGAATACCTTTCCATAGTCGACGAATGTTAGTACTAAAGGCTTGTTGTATGCTGTACTTTTCTCTATTAATGATTTTATCACCTGAAAATCGTCATTTGTTCCAAATCCAAAATCAAATCAAATCAAATCAAAATATGCTTTATTGTTTTAAACAAAGTAATGTTGTAAACAAAGCTGAAAAAGGTACGTAATAAAATAAAAAAATAAATGAATAAATTCAGAACCTACACAATCAAAAATAGAATAAAGTGTACTTATATGACTTAGTTTACGTAGTCTAAATATATATGAATCATTAAATTACATAATTATAAAATTGAAACACAAACAGTAAACAGTTAATAAAATAATATAAAATCTTACATTTAAAAATAAAGCAGTACATTTACAATTTAACGTCATAGTAAAAAAAAAACACACAGCACACAGAACAGTAAAAAGTATCCATAAGCACACCTTTTTTTGCTTAAATCATGGTTAAAATCTTTCATTGAAGTATTCTTGTATATCATAATAGGCCCTCGCAACGAGCAACTTTTTTACCTCCCTCCGGCTCGGAAACCTGCCTGTTCTCTTGGTTGATGCCGGTCCAGTTTATTTGTAAGCCGTGCGGTAGGTAATGATTTTGATGAAATATTTATATAGGTGGATCAACAACCTCTATTCCGTATTTCTGGGGTTGTTCCTCCATCTGAATCTGGGCATTCATTGAATAGTTTGTGGTTATTGCTTTGAGTGACTCACTTCCTCCTAGCTTGATGGATTCTATAACAACACCGTCTTCGCTAGGTGCTTTGTTGTTCTCCATTTCTAACAACGACTTTAGGTCCTCTTCTCCAGTTATCTGGCATCTCTTTCGATCCTTGGTTTAGTGGGGTATATTTTCAGATGTTTCTGCTTAACTTTGGTTTCTGGTAACAGAAAAGGCTATCTTGATAAATACCCCGAACGCTTACAACATTTAGCTAGTTATAGAGACTTCAACAGACAAAGGATTCCTTATGGACCACATAATGCATAAATTGTAACCACGCTATTTATTTATTTATTTATTTATTTATTTATTTATTTATTTATTTATTTATTTATTTATTTATTTATTTATTTATTTATTTATTTAGTTATTTATTTATTTATTTATTTATTTATTTATTTATTTATTTATTTATTTATTTATTTATTTATTTATTTATTTTATTTTATTTGGGATACAAACAGGATAAACCCACTACACTGTGAACCAATTCTTCTCTAACCGATGAATAGGTTATTGGGGGTAGGTTGTTGGACTCGTTGGCCTGCAAGCAGTCCGGATTTAAGCCATTTGCGCTTATTCCTGAGGGGTTACTTACAAAATAGATTAGGTTCTGTTTGACGGTAGAATAACAAGTTTTTCGTAAAACAAGTAGGTAACTACCTAATTGAGATTATGATTGAAGCTGCTTTGATTCAAATTAACTAAAATGTACGCTCTTGCTTCATTAATAATTCCAAAATTACAGGACTTAGGCACCGATTTAAGTACCGTTTTAAAATTAACTGTCGAAGTAAATTTATCGAGTAGGGTATCACTAGAAGGTAATTTCGTGCTCTTCCACTCGACGTATTACTCAACCCCTCTTCCCATTCAAGATCTAGGGGTTTGGGCCCACCCCCGCGGGGTTAAAAGTGAGAGGGGGGAGCATATGCGAAAAATATTTCCCCCTTCAAAACAAAATCGAAGTGTGCATTTTTTGTTAATTTCACAGGAAGCGAAAAGCTAGGTGAATACTTAGGTAGGACCACTCTGTATAAAAGTACGCCAAAGTGTATTGATATTTCGAGAAAAAACTTAATAAGAGAAACCCGCTCTATCCCAGCTAGAGTAATTGAAAAATTGATTTTAAAGCTAAAAGTTTTTTGAATGCCTCCTTGAAATAATAGTTTTAATCCCATTAGATAGGTATTATGACTTGTTCTGTTATGGTTTATTTTGTTTTCAAATAATAATAAATAATGTGCAATAACTAGATTATAGGTATATACGTTTAACGTACTTTAATTAAATAAGCAGGTTATTAATAAAACAAAATAAATTATAGTATGTAATAAGTTTGCCTGAGGATGAATATTTTTGGCAAAACCTCGGAATTTCAGAAACATTCTTACATGACGTCATATTTTATCATATCAAAACCAAACAAATTATGTCTGTATTAGGCAAAACTAAGTTGATGATGGCTCTAAAAAACCGAAACGTGGAATTTGAAAAAGTTTTACCACATAAAGCTCGTCAAAAAGTGCTCCAAAAAAGTTATCTTGGGTTTCCTCTATCTTTGAAAAAATAAACACGAAAATCCCAATTTCCGATTTTGTTCAGATAGGTAGGTATATTCTAAAACATTCAGAATTTTTTGTTCAAAACGGCATTTTATTGCGCATCACATTGCGAAATTTTGCCACAATTTGACCGACCCTTTATCTTGTACGGTACGATTTCCGAGATCCCAATGGTGAGCTTGGAGTTTGGGGCACCCTGTTGAATGTAAGGGCGAAAATGTAGAAAGGCATAATTTGTTATCTAGATCATACTAAAAAATATATTCAATGACATAATATTATTTCCAACAGGTGAGTAACTAATCCCAAATTATTGATGCCCTTTTAAAAATTATCTTACAAAATATTAGGTAAGTATTTAAGTCCCTACTCATTTAATTTTTAACTCATGGTTCAAGTACGAAATTATTGGTTTTACTCACCCCAAAGTCGTCATTGTCACAATAGTGTACCAAAAAGCGGCTGGAATGGAAGTGAAAGTCTTGCCCTCATTTTTCTCAGCATAGAACATTACAGTGGCGAATATTATAATGGCCATGGCTAAAGAAAACACCAAGAAGCCAAGTTCGGAAGCACAAGATTTGAGCGTATATCCCAAAATTCTAAGACCCTGTGAGTGTCTTGAAAATTTGAAAATTCGAAAAACGCGAAATACTCTTAATGTAACAAACGCCCCAGATACATCGTCATTGTCAGTTATACCCAATCCGATATAGTAGGGCAAAATCGCGACCACGTCTATTATACTCATCACTGACCGCACGAACTTGTATCGGTTCGGAGCTGCAAACATTCTCAAAAGATATTCTGCTGTGAATATCATTACACAAGCAGTATCTAGACAGAAAAATACTATTTTGTATCGTTCTCCACAGGGCAGGGAACCTGCTCCACCCGGTCTGCTGCCACAAGGAACTGTTTCCACTACATTTGCCATCACAGAAACTGCAATGAAAAATCCAGTCACATAATAAAATACTAGAGCTGCGGTTGATGTATGGGGGTTTTCGAATGCTCTCCACATTTTTTGTCTAATATTGGTGAGTTGCTGTAGGTGCTGGTCTCCATTTTCAGATAATTTATCGTCCATAAGCCTTTCTGCATTTTCCCGCTTTCGGTCACGATAATCTTCGTAGCAACAATCACCAATAACATCTGGAAGAATTCCGAAAAATGCAAGTTCTTCATCATAACTTGTAAGGCATTCATGTTTTGGATAATGTAACTTGCCGGTGCGATAATAGTTCAGAATATGACGAAAGATATCAGGATCACGGTCAAAGAAGTACTCTTTAACATCTTCGTCATAAAAGAACTCACGTTCGTTGGAACCCAACAAGGTGTCAGGGTATTTTTCAAGGGTATTTCTCCAGGTTTCGAATCGACGCCCGGAGACGTTTATGAGGAGTTTTTCGTCGTCGGCCTTTCGGCGGTCCTTGGGTACCGGGGGCGGCGGTAGAGGGTGTGTAGCAATGGGAACCCATCCGATGGCCGCCGCCCGCGCGAATGGCAGCCAAGCGGCGACCGAGGCCATACTATGCGGTGGAATGTTCGCTTTGGTTTGCACTAAGGGCCTAGTCCTGCTGCGGGGCCCGCGGCGCTTCTTTACATTGACTTTACTTACGCATGGATAATAATTCCTCGGCTTTTACCCGAGAAGAATATACTTCAATTTCTAATGCCAAAGCGCCCAGCTGATATCTTGGTGTTTGCTGCTGATTCCTGAATCACTTCTTCTTATCAACAACAGGCCGCAGCGCGCTGCGCCAGGCGCACGACGAAGACACTGTCACAAACTTGTCCAGCACGATAACGCCCACACAAATCAACAAAACTAGTACCTATAAATATAAACACAAGTCTATTTCGGTCACGCGGCGTGTACTCATGTTGCTGTTATCGTAGTTCGTAGTTCGAAATACTGCTCGCTGCGGTCAGTGTGGAGCTATAGCCGCCGTGTCTAGGCCATCCTCCGACCGACGCCGACGCTCACCGACGCATTTTGCTAGAAGCTGATTTCACGGCAGAACGCAAGTCTTCTTTTTATCGATCAGGAAACGATATCTATTCCGTTCAAGTTAGCGTTAGCCGTTTAGCACCATCTTTGCCGTCATGCACCATATTAGTTTCCTCCCTAAGTTGAATGATGTTTGCAACAAATCCAGACAAAAATCTTTACCTGTTACCTACTTGTCGACATAAATTATCTGATACCATCTGCGGTTTCATAAATTTGGTGCCCCGACGTTTGTCGCATCAAATGGATTTGGCACGCCAACTGTTACATGCATTTTGACCTTGTTGTTATCGATTGGGATATATTCCTCAACTTCCTATACAGGGTGTCCTACATTGACCCTACATACGCATGGAACTCTTCAAAACTGAGAGAATATAGAAACAATGAAATAGATAACGTTTGAGATTAAAAAAATTGTAAATCGTGTGCTTTTTTTTGAGATACATTCCAAATTTTGCTCAATATTTTGAAGAAACAAAAATTGTGCGAACTAATTTTCCACTTCAGTAACCTTCGTTTTCAAAAACTATTCAAGAATTACAAATCACTAAAACTAAATATAGCAATGCTTAATCGAAAGTTAATGCAATTGTGCCTTAGTTCGCTGATTGTATTTAGGCCGGTATAATAAAATATATGCTATATGAGCAAGAAATCCATAGGTAATTATTTATAGGGTAACAATACAATAAGCTAATTGATTAATATAATTTCTCTCTGTTTGAGTGGTTTGGGAATTGAGGTTGATGTACCTACTAAGTTGGAGTTGGGCCAATTCAATTTGAGCTTCAGTTTCAACATTTTCACATAATTAATTTCAACAAACCCAGTAGGTAGTTGTTATTCTAATAGATACGACAAATTATACTTGAAGCATGCAAATGCAGAATAAAGATATTAGTCGGGAATCAGCACACCGAAATTCGATTACGTAGGGTGAATGTGCCTGTTCACGACCAGCTAACAGAAAATTTGATTTTGAGATGTGATAAATGCCGGAAAATTAACTCAAATTTCAACTGAAATATATTTTTTTAAATTTTTGACGTTTTAAGATAGGTTTACAATTGCATTTTTCGGGATTTTCTTTCAAATTAGTAAATAAATTGAGTAAATGTTGAAAAAGCGCATTTTATCCTATTCACGACCACCGGTCACAATTCTCGACCACTTTAGGGTTGGTTCTCGACCGCTCAAAAGTCACATAAGAAGTCACTCCTTCATATATCTTTATAAGGTGGTCGATAAAAGGGAAATATCGATCTGGTTTTCGACCGCCAATTTTCTAGGGTGGAGGGTGGTCGAGAATAGACTAAGATCAATCTGGTTTTCGACCACCAATTTTCAGCAATTCTTTTAAAGAACATTTTCATAATTTTTCAACTCAAAATGGTGGTCGCAAACCAACATTTAGATTCTTGAAAGCTATTTATAAACAATAAACAAAAATTAAATTTTTTAAAGTCCTTCTTTAACATATTTTTTCAAATAAAAGTAATAGACCAAGGCGGTCGGAAACCAAAAATCGTCAATTTTTAAAAGCTGGTTCTCGACCACCAAATAATAACGTGAGAAAAATCATTAAATGCAGTTTCTTCATGGTAATTTCAACATTCAACCCTTCCCTACCCTAAAGAAAATATTTCATCCATTAGTTTAAAATAAAACATAAGTTATTCACTATTTTCAGATACGATGCCACTAAGCACTGCAACAAATTTAGATTACACGTGGATTATCCGCACAACAAGCAAGACTTTACTGATTTTTCGCGGGAAAACTGATACGTGTTTTTCAGTAAATCCGCCTATTTTGAATGGGCCAAAGTGATCGAAAACTAATTCAACATTCCATAGCAAGGTTTGCCGATTATTCTATTTATTATTGTCCCCTAAATAGCTGAATGGTCGAGATCTAGAGCAGGTCGGTGAACAGGCACATTCACCCTACTGTGCACTCGAGGATATACGTTTTAAAAAATATGTACAATATGGAGAATGACCTTGCGGATGCAAATCCGGAGGGGTCCATTTAATTCGTAATTGCAATTAAGACTAAAAAAATATTTTCCGACTTTTTTGAATTATCCGAAAAATACTATTTTTTGTGTTTAACTCACGATTGTGATGCTATTCTTCAATATTTTTCCAAAATTCTTGCACCAAATGAAAGCCTAGTCATTGTAGAGTTCAACTGTATATGCAAAAAAACTATTTTTTTTTATACTGAATTTGTCAGATTACTTAAAAGCAGGTGCGGTACCAAAACTGAAGTGAAAATTTCAGCATCGAGAAAATTTTTGAACGGTTGAAGATAGATATATGATCAATCGACGAAAAATGTGCCTAAATGAGTGAGGGAGTTTTTGGTGAAAAGAGATTTTGATTAGTGATAACGGTTTCCGAGATATGATTTTTTTTTCAAACGACGATACGCGCCGGCCGCTGCCGCATTGATCTCAATGAACGCGTTGCCCGTACCCTGGCCCCAGCGTGGCCCGACAGTACTTGTTTATTCTATAGGGACAGACATTTCTATAAAACCTAATTAGGTAACTAAAACTTAATTTTAATTTAAATAAAACCCGCCTCCAGAATAGCAACCTCTTATACCATCCAGCCCTGCTTTTAAACAACTACAGTTTAGCTTCTAGTGCATATCTGGAGTTTGCATTTGCAGCACCATTTTCGAATCTTACATCGGTATGGATACTTATTGTGGTTAATTTTATTATCTTTCAGATCCCAACCAAAATTAACTGGGTTGGGAATTTCTGGATTTATTAAAATCGCACTCTTCCACACAATTATTCCATAGGCAGTTCTTCAGTTCTTTCTTAATAGTAGGCACATGCTGATTTGATTTTGCTGATGAAATGCATCCTTTGTGAGTGGCAAATTCCTTATATCAGATTTATATATTGCTTATTTGGAACGCCTGGTAAATGATGGCTTACCATAAAAAATTTTGAAAAAATACCTAGCTGCGTTTTCGAAACTCATTAAATTATTGTAGTGAAGTTATCTAGAAGTGTCTTTAATAGGCTCGTACAGCATATTTTTTTTATTACATATTCTAAAAGAGCGTGTTGAGTTTAGCAGTTATGCAAAATTTCTTAGTTTTCTGAGCCCTTGTTCATATTTAAATAAATTATCAAAATACTCCAAATTTGAAACACGCGGTGACGTCACCGCATCTCTCACGTTGGTCCTTGTGTTGCTGGTACGCCAGTCACTTCGACAATACGGGCAGTGTTTTGACAAGTTTTGGTTTAGCATCGTTTAGACAAATTTCAGTTTTGCATTTCATGTTTCTGGTAGAACTGGATGTTTTTCTTTCGAATCACATTTCGTATATTTGAATAATTCCCTGAGTTTCAATATTTTATGAGCACAATTATTATGGAAGTAGCATGAAAAACGGAAAATTATAAATATTGCATAGTTCCGCAAACTGTATGCCAAACTGTCAGTAGAAGATCAGTTGACATTGCGTTATGCAAAATCGTGTGTGACGGCCTTTAGCCGGTCTCGACTCGAGAGATGCTATGACGTCACAGCAATGAATTTCCGAGGCAAAAGTGTTTTTTCTCCAAACGTCAGAAAAACGTCACTTTGTTAACTCCTGTCAAGATGTCAGAAATTTGATTTCTATGCTGCTAGTCAAATCCAGCGGGTTAACACCTGTCGAGGTGGTAGAAATTTAATTTCTATGCTGCTTGGCAACCCCAGCGGCAGCAAAAGTACTTTTAGTGCCGCTGGAGCGGCAGTAGAAGTACTTTTAGTGCCGCTAGTACTTTTACTGCCGCTCAACCATCCACTTGCCCCCGAGCTTACCCCATTCGTTTGGAGAAAAAATAGCGTGTTGCATACGGAGTAGAAGCACTTTTTTGTGCTTCAGCAGTATTGCAAGCCTCACTACGTTCGGCTTGCAAACGTACTGCTTCAGCACAAAAAGGTAAAGCTTCTACTCCTAATACAACAATATACTATTAATATTAAAAAACGCGTAACTCTTTCAATATTTATCCAATTAAGCTGAAATTTTTTCTACGTGCTATATGTGAGTAATACTCTATGAAAATGTGAAAAACCGGGCTAATGAAATTTGATTGAACGACCTTATTCTATTTCGTTACTTAAATCCATCAGGTATTATGTTTCAAATTTGTGTAGCCATAATTCCTGAATGGATAACCTTTGTAATAAAGTAGAGAGACAGAACAAATATGTCGGTATCGGCCGACTCTATTATTATTTGATAGTATCTACTGTAGGTTTGACAAGTATTGGATTATTGGATAATAGCAAATTTTCGAAGTATTTGCTGAGGTACCTATACCATATAATTTAAAAAGTCTGTTTTTTTTAAACAGAATCTTAAGTCAAAAATTTGTGTTACATTGTATTGCTAACATTATGCAATGTTGACTTAATTAATAAAAAACTAGATTTTACCTAAAGTTTCTTGTTAATAAATTGAAATTGAAGATAGTGAAGTAGTGTAGGTATTTTCTACCATTCCAGCGGCAATCATGACGATATTCTTGAGAAGGCGGTTACCTATATTTCGTCCATATCCAT